ATCTAAAAAAATTAAAGATAGAAATGAACCTGAGAGAAAGTTGAGAGGAAGGCAGTTGAGGAGTGATGGACGACAAGTGTCTTTACCTGCTCGATAGCTGGAAGCTTAACAGCCTTTTCCTGATCATCAATCATCATCATCATCACCATCATCAAACAACAAATACTTTCTAATAACTATCATTATCCATGGAAAAAAGTATATAATATTGGTACATCAGCAAGCAAAAGTAAGTGTGAGTGGGTATATTAAACCTGGTGGGTGTGAATAAGTTGTTGCACGAGATTGTAATCCTGTGCAGGAAAATAAAAACTATCATTTAATCACAATAAATTGAAGAAGATGAAGAAGGAAAAAAAAAGAATATGATGAGTAATAACAAATAAATAACTATAGGAGATTGATGATTGATCGTAAAACAAAATGATGATAGCTACCGGAGAGACGGCTGATTCCGTTGAGGTTGCTGCGGCGGCCATGGTTGATCAGAGGATGGCGTGTGATCACTATTTGGTGGTATATTAAATTTGTTAGCTATTGATTAATTAATAATAATTACACAAAAAACCTAGAACAAATAAAGGATGAGGAGAACTGGACCGGAGTAAGGTGTAAGCCATTTAGAGCATGGATACAAATTCAACCCAAAAAATCTAATTATTTTTAACTCAAATTACTTTTTTTAACTCAACCCTACTATCATCAATATTATCAATATAATTAAATAATATCAATCAATCATTCTTACACACAACATCAACTCACATAACTTTAACTAATCATCACATCACATCACATCTCTCTTATACTTTTACATCAATTTAATTTAATCATTTTATTTTAAATATTATTTAGTATATCACTAACAACTAATCATACTAACTTTTCAAATTTAATCTACCCAAACAAAAAATTCAATCAAAACAAAAACTTTTTATATTCAAGCATGCTCTTATCACCCAGAGAGACATCACACGTTGCTACCTAATAATTTATTGAACAATGGTATAGGTACATAATAGTATACATAGATGTGTACATAACACTCACATGGGGTGGGTCCTACTAAAAATAAAAAATCAAGTAAACTTCACTCCATGTGAGTGTTATGTACATTTCTATGTTGTAGCATTTTTCTAATTTATTATATTAACGATCTGACTTCCTTTCTTTTTCTTTTTCTGTTATTTTTTTTGGTTAAGTTTGATTTTTTTTTTNCTTGTTGTTTGTTTATATATGCCAACATTGTTCCAATTATTCTCTAATTTGTGACTTGTAGTAAATTCTATCGTTCTGTTTATTTAAAGACACTAGTTTCCCAGTTCCAACGCTGAAAAAACAAATAATTGTTTCATTCCATTTAATCTATTCATTAACTATTACCATCATTATAGCAACATTTGATGTGATAAATGATAGTGTTTATTACTACAAGAACATTTGCAATCCATGTATTTGTTGTTATTATTACAAGAACATTTGCAAGTGCAATGGATGGATGGTACAAAATCCATGTTTACCAAATTATTATGGACCATGTATTGTTTCTTTTGATGGATGCTTGGGTTGAGCTTCAAACTCACTCCAAGTTACCTTCAACCCTGCATTTTCTTAACTTCTAATACATACAAAATTCAACTTATAAGGATTACCATCACTTGCAAGCCACATTGAACAGAACAGATCTACCATTTTTCTTAAAGTAACAGTCTAATATAAACAACCTACATATTCATGCACTAATACCACAAGAACAAAAATTTCACAGTAAGGTGCCAAGCAGTGACAAGAATCAGTTTTTCTACAAACCATAAAATGACTAGAATGGATTGGATAATGATGCCATACCAAGATGATAAACTTCTTATTTTGCTATAGACGGTACAAGCAGAGCCTAGCTACAAGCAATTGTACACACACAAACACACATTATACCTGATGCCAACAATGTCATCTGAGATCACAATCAACTCACACATTTCTCAACCAAAACATATCATCATATAACAGTTGCTAATGCAAATTGTTTCCAGAATAATTCCCAGTATCATGTTATTCTACATTCACCATTAACGTGCACCAAACTTCATAGCCAGAGTCTAGCCAAATGGGTCTAATACTCACCCTCCTTAGATTTGATACGCTTCTATACAATCATATCCATTTTTTTCTACTTATTATTTTGACCAAGATTCCACTTTTCCATGCATCCAACTCTACTGTACGTAGATACTCATCTTTACATATCTGTTCAGAGATCATCCTTAAGCAAACACGAATTATGTTGAAACTATTTAAACTAAATTAGCCACAGAAGGGTAGTCATATACACCAAAATCGGGCACCTCATCCATTCTTAATAGACTTTTCCCACATATACAAACTCCGGATATGCATTCATCTCTTACTACTATATGGTTGATAAGTAACATAATGTTATTCTCAGGGAAAAGATGCCTCAGAACCATCTGCTCATTCATGGTAAAAGAAAGAAACAAAGAGTTAGGAGCAATCATAGAGAGAATGAATATTTATGCTATTCAGTATTTGAAATGGAACCAGCAAAATATAGAAACAGAAAGAACCAGCCAAAAACAAAAGGTTAAATGTATTTGCAGAATGGGCAATTGAATGATTGGCAAAAGGAAATAAGGTATCAAATATATAAATTATAAACATCCAAAGGGTAAAGAAGCATGAAAAACCAAAGCCTTCACATGATATGTTTCTCCAAAAAGAGATCATCCTAAACAATCAGCCATAACACTGCCAATAAAAACACATTTCTGAAACCAACAATACACTAAACAATCACAATCCCACTAATCGTTGATATCTGGTACAACAATCCGTTTACAATAACTAAACTATAATTTGGGAAATAATCATAACATCCATATGCTAGGGAAAGAAGTCTAACTTACAAGGTTCACGGTGTCAGATCTTGGGAGACACAACAATAAGCTTTATCAAATAAGAAACATAAATATCAAAAATCCTTTT